TTCAGAATTATAACTTTAATCTCAAAATTTTGACTTAAAATTTTGACTTTTTTCAGAATTATAACTTTAATCTCAAAATTTTGACTTAAAATTTTGACTTTTTTCAGAATTATGACTTTAATCTCAAAATGTTGACCTTTTTTTTCCAGAATTATGACTTTAATCTCAAAATTTTGACTTTTTTTCAGAATTCTGACCTTTAGCTCGTAATTCAGACTTTGCTTTAATCTCAAAATTATGACTTTAATCTCAAAAGTCTGACTTTAATCTCAAAAGTCAGACTTTTTTCTCAGAATTCTGACTTCGCTTTAATCTCAAAATTTTGACATTTATTTAGAATTATGACCTTTATCTCAGAATTCTGACAGCTAACAAACATGTTAGCATCCAGCCGTATCCATGTCTGTTTTAGAGACTAGCTCTCATGTTTTAATCACCTTCTGCTCTTCCATTAATCAAACACCATCAGCAGGGAACCTCAGGGACGGAAAAAGTCTCATAATTCCATCATTTTCCACCAATGTGTTCCTGTTCCGCCCAAATAACTCACATCTCTGTCAGTGAAGCTGAGTTCTCCACATCTCTGCCTTCATGGTGCCCATCTACATTAAGATCCTCAATTCTCAGATTAAAGTCAGAATTCTGACTTTTTTCATATTACACTGAAATAAAATTTAAAAAGCAGTTAACTTTTTTTTTCTCTTCCGTAGAAAGTTTTCAATTTGTCACAGAATTAAAAAGCTGTGATGGTGTTTGTGTTCTGAGTGTAAGCTAGCAGCTGTTAGCCTAGCAGCTGTTAGCCTAGCTGGGGGATTCTGGTGTATTTAGCTAAAGTTAACCCTCATCCCCCCTGAACTCCACCGCTTTACTGGGTTTAAAGAAGCGGTATTCCTCCAGTTTTTACCTCCGGAAGGTAAATTATTCAGGCACATGGTTTCCTGCGTAAACTCCTATTTTACATCCAGCTGAAGCCGCGCTGCTTCGGCCTGCTCTTTGTCGCGTTGAGCGCAGAAACGGGCCGCAACGATCAACGCTAATTATTTAAGTTTCAGCAGGCAGAGAGTTCCCGATGAGCCGCTTTCAATCAGTCAGACAACAAATGAACCAGGCTGCCAGTGACGGACATTCCATTCGAGCTAACAAGCGATCGGTTAGCAATCATTGGCCGGAGCCAGGGACAAACCTGCAATGAAGCCCTGGTTGGTTACCTTCCTCAAACGGCTGTTTGGTTGGACAGAAAATGGCTGCGAAACGACCAGTCCCTGCGCGGAGCCGTGGCTGCGCTGCCGCTGCTCACCACCAGGGGGCCGTGCTGCGTTCAGGGACTTCTGGTAAAATATGATTTTAGATAACAGACGTGGGTTCTTTGGTTTAGATAAAATAATAAAAAAAACTATCCTAGAAGGAAGCTGTTGAAGAAAACAAATAATTTAATGTATTTTTTTACCCCATTGTGAGTAAAACGGTACATTAAAACGAGAGTGAAGATGCTCACCATGTCTTTTTCCCTGTTCATCCACGTTTTGTTTTTTTGATTCCCACTTTTTAAATAACCAATAAATCATCTTATGAGGTTTGTAGACTTTGGAACACTATAGGTAACGTGTAAGGGAAAATGAAAGAAAAAAAAAGTTCTCAACATATACAATTAAATATAAAGTTTGTATCACTAGATGGCGCCATTATATTATAAAAGCTTGACTTTTTAATACCAGACTTCAATGGCTGAGAATTTCTTATTCAGTTATCCAGTTCACCAGATCATCCAGTCAGATTGATTCAAAGTTTTCTATCTAAGGAAAACCAGCTGATTGCATCGACTCATTGACTCTTCAGCAATCCCTCACACTAAGCATGCTTGTAGCGACAGTGGAGAGGAAAAACTCCCTTTGAACAGGAAGAAACCTCCAGCAGAACCAGGCTCAGTGTGAGCGGCCATCTGCTGAGGCCCACTGGGGTTCAAGGAGACAGAAGCAGACATAGAAAAAGAAGCATAGATACAAAAGGCAACTGTCAACCAGCTCCACAGGCGGCCCCGTCCAGGAAACACACAGCCAGGCAGACGAGCTCCGAGCCAGCTCCCATGTCAGAGGATGAAGAGAGCACATCCAGTTAGTCACAGTCAGAGAAACAGGACTACACTGGAAAACAGGCCAAGCTCCAAGATCTAGAAACAAAGGTGTTGATGGCAGCAGCACAGCTGATATTTCTCTCCAGGATGGAGTCACAGCCAAACAGGAACAGACCAGATGAAGCTACTATGAGAAAAAGCAGAGAGAGCAGAACGTTAGAGATTGAACTAACAGATTCTGCAGAGTGGGAGAATAGAGATAGAATGAAGCAGAATGATGAAAAAGGGGTCCCTATGTCCTCCAGCAGACTAAGCCTATAGCAGCATACTATAGAGATAGCTCTTCATAGGAGCGGAGCCTGATAACTAAAAGATCTGCCTCCCATTCTACTTTTAGAAATTCTAGGAACCACTAGTAAACCTGCAGACTGAAAGCGAAGTGCTCTGTTAGGAACATAAGGAACAATCAGATCTCTGATATCAGATGGAGCTTTTAAGCCATTTAAGGCTTTATATGGGAGAAGGAGGATTTTAAATAACACTTAAATTTACTGATATTAAATACAATTGTTGCATTTTAATAAATGGTTCAAAATGACAATAAATGTTGTCCAAATCTGTTGGTATTACCTCAGAGGAAAATTAACTGCTAATTAGCATTTTAAATCTGTTTTTTTTTTCTGAAACAACATATTAGCAGATATATAATTTTGCAAAGAAACTGTGTAAACATTTATAGAACCTTTCATGGTTAATCAAATACCTTATTTATGTAAGTTTGATGTATTACTGTGAGGACCTCCTCATTTTCTGCTCTCAGAGTGGAACTTTATTTTTAACCCCTTCCTGTTTGTAATTTCTTATTTATTCTATAGTTTTATTATTACTGACTGAAGTGAATACCTGCAGTGTCTGTGCACTAACATCACATGACTGGACATTTACCCATCATCATTACAGGGCTGTGGTCTCTGCTGAGGCTAAACTCTGATGATTATCATATTAATGAGTTTTATGGTAATGTGACGATCTGCGAGATTAAACGAGATTAAAGGGCAAACTTTAGAAACGTGGAGAAGGACAACTGCTTAACCTGTTTAAATAATGAATTTCTCCCGTCTCAGTCACCGTGTGACCCTGGTCTCAGGATGCCTGGGGCTGAGGGGAAAAGTGTTTATACCTGACCTCACTGACCCCTAGCCCCGCCCACCTGTCCACAAGGGTCAGGGCCAGTGAGGTTTATTGTTCATCAATCATCTCCTTCACTGACTGTACTCTCACCTTCACACAACTTAAGCTTATAAATAGCACTAAATTAGCTGGAACTGTTAGCATTCACATGTTAACATTCAGACATTAGCATTCAGAAATTAGCATCCAGACATTAGCATGCAGACGTTAGCATCTAG